GAAGTGTGGGAGAGCCAAGAGCTCTGATCTCTCTTCACTTACTCAGCTCAGGGCCTCAAGTTCTCTGAGGAGTCACACTTCCCAAGAGCTCTATCTGAGCCAGCAACACATGGGGTGGGGGCAGGGTGGGCAGGAACACAGCTGGAGGGTACAAGGTGAGGTGAGGAGGTGCTCAGAATGCCCTGGATCTCCTCCCCACCCAAAGCCTTTCTCCTTGTTCTCATCCCCAGGCCCTCTATGGCTCATCGAAGGTGACCTCGGTGCCCCTGTGTGAGAAGCTGGCCACCCTCCCACTCCAGCCCCCCAGCTCTGGTGGGAGCTCAGCTCTGACCTCTCGGGGGGAGCCAGGCCTCTTTCCGGGACCCAGCTGCCTCCCCGCTGCCTAGTCTCATAGCCTTGTGAGTTGGGGCCATGAGCTTTCAAGCACTCATGCACATATTTAAGCCCCGAGAAGAAAAATATATTGGCTTCAAAATGTGGTCAGAAAAAAAGCAACATCAAAATTAATATACACTTACTTAAATGTCTACGAATGCAATATTATGCCAATTAGTCATGGGCAACCCAAACCAATTCTTTTTTTTTTTTTTTTAATATGTTTATATTAACTTGAGAGAGAAAGAGAAGAAGGGAGAGGGAGAGAGAAACAGCAATTGGTTCCTCCTGTTGCCCCTGGATCAGGGATTGTCCCGCTATCTGCGTGTGTGTCCTGACCAGGAATTGAACCAGAGAACTTTCAGTGTCTGGGATGACACCCAACCAACTGAGCCACACTAGCCAGTGTTCAAGTTATAAAACAAAATAATTTACTCTTTACGAAACTTGAAATTATGGAAATCCTCTTCAAAACTTTTACTGCAGTAAATGGCATTTGATGCAGGAGCAACTTTTTTTCTTTTTAATCCTCACCCGAGGACATTTTTACATTTATCTTCAGATAGAGCAGGAGGGAGACGGGGAGGAAGAGAGAGAGAGAGAAACATTGATGTGAGAGAGACACATGGAGTGGCTGCCACCCACACGACCCCAACCGGGGCTGGGGACAAACTGCAACCGAGGTACGTGTCCTTAGTGGGAACCGAACCCGCGTCTCTCTGGTCACAGGCGATGCTCTAACCGCTGAGCCAAACCGGCCAGGGCAGGAGCAACTTCTTATGCTTGTAGTAGTCTTGAAGGTGGATCTCCAGTCTATTAAGGCCTTTGAAGGATTCTCCTGGCCTTGCAGTGCAGGGTCCCTTCTGGTCACAGTGGCGTTCACAGAGGAAGCTGCGGCTGGTTTGGGGGTGGAACCGGGTATCACAGTTCAGTAGCAGGAACATGGCTGGGGGCCATCTGCCATCAGCAGGTATGCTCTCTGAGAAAATACGGAGAAGGGCAAGGAGCAAGGCAGCCCAGTGGCTACTAGAAACCAAAACACCCATCTTTCATCTGCTCTGCCTGAGAAAGAAGAGCAACATGTTCAGAGGTGGATTTTAGCAACCCTTTCTGGCGGCTGCTGTGTGCAGAAGGGGCTGAGTGGGGCCAGCCTGAGACAGAAAGCCCAGGGAGGAGGCTCTAACAGGGTCAGTAAAGAGGTGGCAGTGGTCTGGCCTGCAGTAAAGGCAGTGGAGACAGAAAAAAAGAAGATGGGATTTGAGACAGGTGCCTAAGAAATGACAGGACTTTCTAAACAACTGAATATGGAGAGTGACGGAGAGGAAGGAGCCCTGGATGACCCCAGAGTGCTGGACTGGAGGAGGGCCGGGGTTGGTGCCAATGGCAGCCAGGGGATGCAGGAGGAGCAAGTGTGTGCTAATACGCAGATGTCGGTTTGGGTCACGGTAGGCTTCAAGCGTTTGTGGGATGTCCCAAGGAAACTGTCCAGGATGTAAAGTGACAAACCAGCTTCATAAGGTGGGCCCAAGGCGAAGGCACAGAGGAGGGCACCCTTTCAGGTCTGACAAAGCCCATGTTTATCTCACTGGAGGACTGTGGGGCGGAGCCTCTTCCACAGTGGGCTCTCACCTTCCACGCCATTCATTTACCCCACCCACAAAACCTCTGCTGACGTTCAGTCTGACGGGGAAGGAGACACGGTGAGGGTGGCTGTGCTGTGAACTAGAAAGGATCCCTTGTTTTGAGTACTATTGGTCTCCACCTTCACCTGATGGGATGGGTGGGGACATAGCAAGCCTCATGGAGGAGGTGGTGTTTGAATTGTCTAGAGGGTTGGGTGGGATACATATGGGAGAGAGTTGTTCTAGGCAGAGACAGAGACGAGCAGGCTAGCTCATAGAGCACAGATTACTGGCTAGTGTTCTGCCATGGCTTTTTGGGGAGAGTAGACAAAAAGGAAAAATTCAGAACCAAGACTTACTGAACCCACAAGGTGCTATATTAGGTTCCTATTGCTGCTATAACAAATTACCACAAACTTAGTGGCTTAAAACAACATATAATTGTCCTGGCCGGTTTGGCTCAGCGGTTAGAGCGTTGGTCTGCGGTCCAGAGAAATCCAGGTTCGGTTCCCGCTAAGGGCAGGTACCTCAGTTGCAGTTTGTCCCTGGCCCTGGTTGGTCATGCGGGTGGCAGCTACTCGATGTGTCCCTTTCACATCAATGTTTCTCTCTCTCTCTCTCTCTTCCTCTCTCTCCCTCCCACTCTATCTGAACAAAAAATGGAAAAATGTCCTCGGGTGACGATAAAAAAACATATAATTGTCCTGGCTGGCTTGGCTTGGTTGGTTGGGCATCATCCCATGCACCAAAAGGTTTCGGGTTTGATTCCTGGTCAGGGCACATGCCCGGTTCTAGGCTCAATCACATCAATGTTTCTCTCTCCTTCTCCCTTCTTTTCTTTCTAAAAATCAATTTAAAAAATTTTTTTTTAAAAAAAACCATTTATCCTCTTACAATTCTGGAGGCCAGAAGTCTGAAATTCGTTTCACTAGGCTATGGTCAAGGTGTTGGCAAGGCTGGTTCCCTCTGGGGGTTCTGAGGGGAGAATCTATTATTCTGCTTTTTTCAACTTCTAGTGGCTGTCTATGTCCCTTGGTTGTGCCCCTTTCCTCAATATTCAAATCCATCACTCCAATCTCTGCTTTCATTCACTTCGCCTTCTCCTATGACTCTGACCCCCCTGCATTCCTCTTATAAAAACTATTATGATTATATAAAGCCCACCTGCATAATACAGAATAATCCAGGATACTCTCAAACGCCTTAACTTAATCACACCTACAAAATCCTTTTTGCCTTATAAGATAGCATTCACAGTTTCCAGAGGTTAGGAAGTGGTCATCTTTGGAGGCCATTACTCAGCTATCATAGGTGCCCTGTACATTCATCATCATCAGAGCTTGGAGAGCTACACTCGGACCCTGGGAGCCTGTCTGGTCCAAAACCAGGCTCAGAATTTCCATCCTGACCAGACCAAAAAAGACTTAACTCTTTTCCAGCCAACGCCAGTAGAAATAAATCCTTTAGCCATCTTTGTAAGTCCCTCTCACAGCTATGTCTATTATCCAGGCTTCTCCCCAGCCCTTGCCAACCCTGCCCTGGAAAGCCAAGTCCATCCTGCCGGCAGCTTCTCAGAATGACCACCAGAGGGAGCGCCTCACAGTTGGCGCTTGGTGGCGCTCTCCTCCTCCTCCCCCCACTCTTTCTCCTCCTCTCTCCCTTTCCCCTCTTCTGTATCTTTCATCAAAACTTTCCTCTCATTTTCTCTATGCTAGACTCTGTATCTCACACTGAGGACACAGGATTCCTGAGATAGAAGATTTTATGGACTGTTTAAGAAAAGAAACCAGTTATTATCATGGAACGACGAGTGTAATGCATGGGGAGAGAAGGCTCTGGAGTAAGGAAGACCCAACTGAATCTTAATTCTGCCTTCTATGAACTGTGAGATCTCAGATAGGTTACTGCACTTCTCACAGCTGTGATGAGACTAACATCCACGTTGGAGGGTGGTTGAGGGAATTGCACGAGCTCTGTTTTCATATGTGTAAATTTGTGATGCCAACAGGACCTGCATCACTGGGTTACTATGAGAATAAAATGAGATAATGCACATAGATTGCCTACTTCATATTAGGCACTCAAAAATGCTAGCTCTTTAATAAGTATTAATATAAAGGACAACTCATAGTAGGCCTTTAATGTCATTTCTTTCCCCTATAACTCTAACTCCATTTCTAGTCTACAGATGTAGAAACTGAAGCCCAGAGATAGTCTGTGCTTCCCTAAGGTTAGGGACCACTCCACATCTTTCTTCTTTGCCCAGCATAAAGACAGCAGCACAGACAGAAATTCTGGGCTCTTAGAGCCAAACTGTAAAAAAAAAATTCCCTTTATTTTTTGCTAAAGGCAAGAGGTCACCAAGATGGCAAAACAGGCAGGGCCTTGCCTCAGCAGGTGGGGACTCAGCACGCAGCAGCCGATGGAGTCCTCTGCCCAGCAGCCACCTGCAGCACTTGGCTTGGGTCTCAGATCCACTTGGTTATTTCTAGTTAGACAATTATCCTGCTGGCTGGGAGCTCTGAGGCATTCAGGGCCTTTTACTTACTGGCCCTAATTTAATTATTAATTCCATGCTCGTCTCCCTCCATTCCCCCAACACTTTATATTCATATTCTTTCTTTTCTTTCATTCATTCATTCATTCATTCATTCATTCAATCAACATTTGAGTGTCTACTATGTGCCAGCCCAGGGAGATCTTGCCACTCATAGGCTTGAAAGGGCAAGGGGAGAAAGCTATCACTGGAGCCTAGGGGCAGTGACCCTACGGAGAGAGCCATCAATAGAAACTAAGCCCTTTAGTAGAGGGAAGCAGCCCATGAAGACCTAGAAAGGAGGGAATGGAGGAAGCTGCTTTGCTAATGAGGAACACAGGGGAACACAAAACCAAAGGGCTGTGTGTGTCTCAAAGATAGGCAGGTCACTGTGTTGAGAACCTAGTGTTAAAATTAACAATAAGAGAGACAAATTCAAATACTAGAACTAAAAAACAAAGATGAAGGGCCTCTCTTCCATGGGCTGCAAGGCGTTTCTTTTCTTCTCAGTCAGAGCTGAAGGCCAAGATCACCCTTGAGGATCATTGCCAGGGCTGCCACGAGCTGGGAAGCCTTGTTTTCCCACCTCAGACATTTCCTGCTGGGAGCCCCAAATTGATGGGGTACGCTGACCTCGCAACCAGACTAGGGCAACCAGACTAAGTGGCAGCAGTGGGCATTGGGCCTCCGGCTTTCAGTGAATACTGCTGGGTTCTTGTGAGCCAGTCCTGGCCTAGGTTGCCCAAAAAGTAGCCTTGCCCCTGCCTGCCTGCTCCATAAGCAAGATGTGTGCAGACCCAATGAGTGATCACCTACCATAAAGATGCCTGTGAGTGAGTAAAGCCTCGCACCTCCCGCCCTCCTACTACATACACTGCTTTGACCCCAGTGGATGTTTCAAGGATGGCCGGGGGTGGGGTCCAGAAGTGCAACTTTTATAGTAGAAGGGGCATATAAGACCACCTGACTCAAAGGAAGCTCACTATTTTTTCCTGCCTGGATTAACTTGGGTGCCAGCCAGGCTGCTCCATCCGTCAGTTTACAGTTGTGTCTCTTGCACAGGATTCCATATAGGATTGTGAGGAGTGGGGTGGTGAAGAAGACCTGTGAGTGGGTGCTGGAGAAGAAGGAGAACCACAGATGTCAGGGCAAGGAAGTCAGACCTGACACTCAGTACACCGGCCACAAACTCAAGCCCTACTTCTAAGCAGTTAGCTGCATCGAATGGGACAGCTTGGGGTCCACACAATTGTGAGTTGTGCCATCCAACTCAGGCACTTGCCTGTGGAAAGTTTAATATATATTGAAATATCTACTTCATCAGTTAACAAACTAGTGTTTAGAAAAGTTCTAATAGTATTTTCTTCTTTAAACAAAGTTCCAAGAGCATTTTATTTTACTGTAAAAGTAATAAACTACTTTCTGTGAAAAAAAAAAAGAATATTTTCTCTGGGCTTATTAGTGGATTCAACATATTCAAAGGAAGAATCAGTGAAATTGAAGATAGGTTGATAAAAATTACCCAAACCAAAGCACAAAGGTGAAAAAAAAGAGGGAAAAAAAAAAAACAGAACAGAGTATTTAAGAGCTGTGGTACAATATTGAACAGTCTAGCATCCATGTGATTGAAATCCCAGAAAGAGAAAAGATATTTTAAAAGATAGGCTGAACATTTTCCAAAAATAATGAAAGATATGAAACCATAGATCCAAGAACACAGAGAATCTCAACAGGATAATTTTTTTTTTTTTTATCCTCACCTGAGGACATTTTTCCTTTTTTTTTTTTCAGATAGAGTGGGAGGGGGAGAGAGAGAGAGAAATATTGACATGAAAGGGACACATCGTGTGGTCGCCACCCACACGACCCAACCAGGGCCAGGAACAAACTGCAACCAAAGTACGTGCCATTAGCGGGAACCACACTCGGGTCTCTCTGGACCGCAGGCTGACGCTGTAACTGCTGAGCCAAACCAGCCAGGGCTCAACAGGATGATTTTTAAAAAATCTAGACATGTTATATTAAATCTGCTAAAAAACAAACAAACAAACAAAAAAACTAAAGTCAAAATGAAAATCTTGAAGGTAGCCAGAGAAAAAGATACATTACATACAAAGGGCGAAGATAAACACTAAATCTTTAAAGAGTTGAAAGAAAAAATAGTCAACTTAAAATTTTATACCCAGTGAAAATATCTTTCAAAATTTAAGCCAAAAATACAGATGTTTTTAGACAAACAAAAGCTAAAAGAATTAATTCCCAGTATACTTGTGCTATAAGAAACATTAAAGGAAGTTCTTCAGGCAGAGGAATATGAGAATATGATACCAGACCGAAACTTAGATTTAATGAAGGAACATAAGGAAACACAAAACCAAAGGAGTGCGTGTGTCCAAGAAATGAAGAACTCCAAAAAAGGTAAAAATAAAGACACATGTTACTTTTGGGGCTTTCCAGGTACACAATCATAGCATCTACAAGGGATAGATTTACTCTTTTACTTCTCAGTTATTAAGTCTCTTACTAATTTCTCTAACTGCTTTGCTTAATGCCTCCAGTATACTGTTGAATAGTAGGATCTCTTTGGTTTATTGCTAATCTTAGTGGAAATGCGACTAGTACAGTATTTCACCATTAAGTGGTGTTTCTAGCTTTAGAAACAACATATTATTATATTAAGAACACACTCATCAATTTCACTCTAGGATGAGTTTTGTCAAGGGTGTTTTCATATCTATGAAGCTAACTATACAATTTTCTTCTTAAATCTATTAATCTTATGTACTATATTAATGGTTTCCCTTCCCACCTGTTCATGGTGTATGGTAATGTGATGTTGGATTATTTTCTAATGTTTTATAATATAATATGTCTATGACTTTATTTAAATATTTGGCATTAATATTCATAAATAATTCAATAAGTCTATAGTTCTGTTTTTGCATTGCTTTCCAAAAACCGAGTTTAAATATTAATGTTAAAATTGCTACATAAAAAATTGGAAGTTTTCCTTCATTTTAAAAGTTTTGAAACAATTTATGGAGCATTGGGGCTATAGAGTCTTTATAGATTTGGTAAAATTCTCCTTTGAAACCATCTTGGCCTGGTGCTTTTTTTGTGGGGAAATTTCTTGATTATAGTCTTTGTTTCTTCTATAAAAATTAATATAAGATTTCTATCTTTTATTTAGTCAGTTTGATAAATTGCATTTTCCTAGAAAACTATCGATTTCATCTAAGAATGCAAATGTATATGCATTGAAGTTTGTGGAGTACAGATGCTCCTTGACGTATGATGGGTTTACATCCTGATAAACCTGTCATAAGTTGAGAATTTTATAAGTCAAAAACTGCATTTAGGAATATATCCTAAGAAGCTGGAAACACTAATCAGAAAGAATATATGTACCTCTTTGTTCATAGCAGCACTGTTTACAATTGCTAAGATCTTGAAACAGCCCAAGTGTCCATCAGTAGATGAGTAGATAAAAGAGCTGTGGTACATTTACACAATGGAATACTATGCAGCTATAAATATGAAAGATTTCTTATCCTTTGAGATGATGTGGAGGGACCTGGAGGACATTATGCTAAGCAAAATAAGCCAATCAGAGAAAGACAAATACCACATGATCTCACTTATTTGTGGAATATAATAAACAAAATAAGCTGATAGATAAAATAGACCTAGAGACATAGAAAGAAGTATGATTCAGACTGACAGAACTCAGAGAAGGGGGGTGGGGAGAATGGAAGAGATAAACCAAAGAACTTATGTGCATATAAGCGTAACCAATGGACATAGACAACAATGCTGAGGGGGTGGGCAGCATGGGAGGAGGGTGTTTATGGGGGAAAAAGAAGAAACATTTGTAACAAAAATAAATGAATAAAAATTGGAACAAGAAATAAAATGAAATCAATAAAAACGTATTTTTAAAAAATGCATTTAATACACCTATACCTACCAAATATCATAGCTTAGTCTAGCATATCTTAAATGTGCTCAGAACACTTATATTAGCACACAGTTGGGCAAAATCATCTAAACAAAGACTATTTTATAATATTCAATAAAGTATTGAATAGCTCATGAAATATATGATATGTATCACTTTTGCTCCACTGTAAAGTTAAAAAATCCTAAGTTGAACCATCATAAGTTAGGGACCATCTGTAGTTTCTTTTGATTTTTTAAAATTTCTTGTTTTAATCATTTCTCCACTGTCACTTCCTATTTTGTATATGTGTGATTTGTCCCTTTTATTCTTGACTGTATTAGCTAATGGTTTTATTTCATTATTTATTTATTTTTTTTAGAAAACCAAAATTGTAATTTATTAATTAGCTCTATTCTCAATCTCATTAATTCCTGCTTTTATCTCTTCTTCCTTGTGCTTTGTTTTGGGTTTCTTTGTTGCTCTTTTGCTAGATATTGAGACCTTGGAATTTAATTAATTTATTTTTACTTTCATTTTTATTTGCATATGTGTTTCCTCAAAATGAACTGTAGATTCAACATTTTATGAATTCCGACATTCCAAGAGAGATTTTGGGGGGAATTTGTTAACATGATTCTAAAATGTGTATGGAAGAGGAAAGGGTTAATTATGGCCTGGACACTCTTAGAAAAGCAGAGGCTTGCCCTCCCAGAGAGTAGATCTAGATAATTAAAATAGTGTAGCACTGACAAGGATATAAAAATTGACCAATGGGAAAGAATAAAAGCCCCCAACACAGACCATGTATGTGTAGAACTATGTCAAAGGTGACATATTATATCATTGGGGAAAGGAAGAGTGTTGAACAAATGAGCAAAAAATGATTATCCATATGTTAAAATATAACATTGAAACCATACTACAAAAGAACCCAGGACTCACCTGTGAAAGACAAAACTTTAAATTATTTTTTTGGCTATTTGTTATTTTTAAAAATTAAACTTAGTGGGATCACATTGGTTAATAACATTATACAAATTTCTGGCATACAACATTATAGTATGGCATCTGTAGACTTAATTGTGTGCTCACCACCTAAACTCTAGCTTCCTTTGGTCACTATTTGACCTTTACCCTCTTTGTCCTCCCCCCACACCTCTTTCCCTCTGGTAACCATCATCCGCTAGTCTGTAGCTATTAGTTTGTCTTTTGTTTAAAACTTTAAACTCTTAATGGAAAATGTAGGTAGGAAAGATTTCCTAAATCAGACCAAGCAATGTCTATTTAATACAAGACTGATAAATATAAATATGTTAAAATTAAAATGTTTTTTCATCTAATGACACCTTAAAAGACACGCTTAAAAAATTGGGAGATTCACAATATATGCAACCAACAAAAGATTAGCATCATGAGTGCATAAAAAACTTCTTTAAATTCAAACAAAAAGTGCAAACAACACTGTAGAGAAACGGGCAAACATTAAGAACAAGCTTTTCACAGACGAGAAAATGCCTATGAATAAAGATACATTCGACATTAGTAATCAGGAAATGCAAACCAAGACCACCACAGGTATGGCTTTACAACCCTAGTGAAATAAGTCTGACCACACTAAGGGTCAGAGAGGATATGCTCCTGTGAGCTCTCCTGCATCCCTGGTGGGAGTGCAAAGTGGTGTGACTCTGTTAGAAAACAGTTTGGCACTACTCCCAACTTGGGCATGCAAGTACTCTGACCCAGCTGTGCTGAACTGTGGGAGACAGAATGGGCTCAGTGACAGAGACCAGTCAGATAACTGATGGCAGAGTTGATCAAGAGGCCGGCTGTAGGGATGGAAAGTAGCTTTTTGTCCCAACAGATACAGAAATCAACAAAAGACTAAAACAAGAGCCTCATAGAAAATGGTATCTAAATGGCCAATAAACATTAAAATATGCTCACCCTCATTAGGCTTTAGGAAAATACGATAACCACAATGAAGTACCTCTACACAGTCACTAAAATGTTTAAAATGGGGAGGATGTGGAGCAACCAGAAGGCTCACATAGGGCTTGTGTGAGTGTAAATTTCTATGATCACTTTGGAAAACTATATGCCTTTTTACCAGGAGACCCAGTAATCCTGTTGCCAGACACACACTCAACAGAAATGTTTACACCTATGGACAAAAGACATGTACAGACTGCCCATACTGCTGAAAGTTGTTAAGAGAGTAGATCCTAAGTGTTCTCATCACAAAGGAAATTTTTATTTTCTTTTTGTGGTATCTACATGAGATGATGAATGTTAACTAAACTTGTTAAGGTAATCATTTCACAATGTATATAAATCAAATTATTATCCTGTATATCTTTTTTTTTAATCCTCACCCGAGGGCATTTTTCCATTTTTTTGTTCAGATAGAGTGGGAGGGAGAGAGAGAGAGAGAGAGAGAGAGGGAAACATCGACGTGAAAGGGACACATCGAGTGGTTTCCACCTGCACGACCCAACCAAGGCCGGGGACAAACTGTAACCGAGGTACATGCCCTTAGCGGGAACCGAACCTGGGTCTCTCTGGACCGCAGGCTGATGCTCTAACTGCTGAGATAAACCGGCCAGGGCCATCCTGTATATCTTAAACTTATACAGTGATATATGCCAATTATTTCTCAATACAATGGGTGAGAGGGAAGAATGCCCATAGCACCCTGGCCAGTGTGGGTCAGTGGTTAGAGTGTTGGCCCCCTGACTGAAGGGTCATAGGTTTGCTTCCCAATCAAGGGCATGTACTTTGGTTGCATGTTTGATCCCGGGCCCAGTTGGGGCATGTGCAGAAGGCAACCAATCAGTGTGTCTCTCTCATATCGATGTTTCTCTCTTTCTCTCTCTCCCCTTCACCCCCTCCCTCCCTTCCACTCTCTAAAAAATCAATGGAAAAAATATCCGTTGGTGAGGATTAACAAAAAAAAAAAAGAAGAAGAAGAAAAAGAAAGAATGCCATAGCAGTGCAATTCACAGTAGCCCGAAACAGGCAATAATCCAAATGCCTCTCAGCAGTAAAATGGGCAAATCGTGGCATAGTCACACAATGAAATCATAGTTACACCATGTGATTTATATAGTAATGAGAACAAAGTTACTACAAATGCACACAATTTGGATGACTCTCAAAAATATAATCTAGAGCCAAAAAAGCCAATCCCAAAAGAGTATAAAGTTCCAACGCAGAGATGAGGATGGTGGTGACCTACAGGGAGGAGGGAAGTGATGGTGAGGAAACGGGGTGGGGGGGGGTCATCTATTAGTTGCTGAGAGTGGAAGTCACATGAGTGTGTTCACTTTGTGAAAATGCAGCACTATACACTTAGGATCTGCGCACTTCACTGTGTGTTTGATATACTTCCATTCAAAGTGTGCATTTAAAAGGAGAGATTTAGGAGAACTGACAGCTGTGAATGAAGAGCGACAGAAAGAGTGTAGCGTGACTTTAAGGTTTTGGCCTGAGGAACCAGGCCAATGGAGTTACTCTTTACTGGTACGGCAAAGATCAGAGAAAAGGGCGACATGGGCAGGTGGGTAGAGGTCCAGTTCAATTCTAGACATGCTATGGTGGAAGTGTGAAACAGGCTTTCCAGCTGAAGATGTCAAGTAGCCAACTACATATTCAAATCTGGAGGCCCAGGGCAGAGTCAAAGCTGGAGATACCGATCTAGAAGTCTTTCTTGTGTAAACAGAATACGAGGCCATGAGTCTTGGATAAGATCCAAGGTAGTGAAAAGAAGAGAGAAGGTCCAAGGACTAGGAGGGCAGGAGGGCACGCGAACGTTTAGTCTGGAAAAGGAAAAGAGCCACAAAGAAGATCAGGGAGAAGCCAGAGAGGGAGGAAGGAAACCAGGGGAGTGTGGTGTCCCTAGGCCAAGTGTTTCAAGGAGGGAGTGGTCAACTGTGTCTACGGCTACTGATAGGTCAAGAGGAGACCTGAGAATATGGAACACTCGATTTAGCAACATGGAGGCCACTGGTGAACTTGTCAAGGGCAGTTCTGTGGAATAGTGGCATCTGAGGTATGGAGTGGCAGAGGACAGAATGAGGTGAAGGGATGCAGACGGCACTTCCAGTTTTGCTGTGAAATGGGGCAGGAGGTGGAGGAGCTGGTGGGGCTGTGGCCAGCAGTCAGACAGATGATGGGCCAGGTATGGAATTCACCAGGGTGGAAAGCCCTGGCGCAGAGCAATGGGTGCAAAACTGGGAAAATAAGGACCTCATCCCCAGTAACCTTTCCTTCCCTAGTACATCACTGGTCATGAGGTTTGGACCCCCTGACCTTTCACATGGTTGGTCATTGGGTGTAGACCCCTTTGACCTTTCCTCTCTAGAGATCACGTCTAGGCCTCAGTCGTGTTTCTGCTACAGGCCCAGGAAGAGCAGAAAAATCAGACAAGTTATGTCAAGGCTGACCTCAGGACCAGCTGCACTGACTAATGACCTCCTGCCCTGGTGCCAGGACATCCCTGAAAGGACACACCTGGAAAGCTGATGAATATTCCATTGAGATTCTCCCCTGGATCACACCTAAAATCCCCACCTTTAAAAGCCCTGAGGACAGCCCTGGCCGGTTTGGCTCAGCGGTTGGAGCGTCGGCCTGCGGTCCAGAGAGACCCGGGTTCGGTTCCCACTAAGGGCACGTACCTCGGTTGCAGTTTGTCCCCAGCCCTGGTTGGTCGTGCGGGTGGCAGCCACTCGATGTGTCCCTTCATATCGATGTTTCTCTCTCTCCCTCCCGCTCTATCTGTACAAAAAATGGAAAAATGTGCTCGGGTGAGGATAAAAAATAAATAAATAAATAAATAAAATAAAAGCCCTGAGGACAAAGAGCCCAGCACACAATCCCTCCTATGCTCTCCCTCCTAGGAGCATGCTCACAACTTTCTCCCCTCCCTCCCCAGCCCCCCCCCTTTCTCCCCAGGTGTGTTATCTCTACCTTTACCTTCCTTTTCCCTAAGCTGCGAGGGCCCTTCCTTTGCCTCTGTAACTTGTTTCCTGAGCCCATTTCTTCTACCACCCACTCTTCTACCTCTGTGACTTTCTAAAGAGACTCCCTCTTCTGGTGTGAGTCCTGAATCGGAATTCCTTCCTAGCCAGACCTCAAGTGTCCGGGGTGCTGAGCCCAGGTCGGCTCTGACCCGCCGGTCTAACACCTGGTGCGGTTCTCAGCGACACAAACGGGGCCGAGGGGTTTTTACGTGGGAGCTATTACTGCATATTTGTAGGGGGGAGCAATGTACGTGACAGAAAGCAGAGGTGACCATTGCTGGAGCCAGATCCTGGGTAGGTGGGAAGGGGAAAAGACTATAGTATATTTGGAGCTTCACCTGATAAGTGAAAGGTAAGATTCCAGCAATCAGAAAAGGTGATCCCGTAGATAAGGCGCTGCCTGAGGAGCCAGCTGCCATGGATAAAGGCTGCACTTCCTTCTCTTTCTCCTGCTTTTAGCTGAGCCCAGGGCACAAGGATTCAAAGGTTTCTCCTAGGAAACAGGTTCCTACAGGGCGGGGGCGGGGAGGCCTTGGGGCGGGGCTGCTCCTCCCCCGCAAGTGCTTATACAGCCTCCGCCCTGAATAAAAACCTTAGGGTGCCTCGGACCTCAGTGGTACTGGGAAGCCTCCAGAGCCCCCAGAGGAGCCAGCATGGTGGAGTTTGCGCCTTTGCACCTGCCGTGGGAGCGCAGGCTGCAGACCTTCTCGGTCCTGCAATGGATCTTTAGCTTCTTGATCCTGAGTAAGGCGGACTGGGCTTGGGGAGGGGGCGAGCGCGGTGGAGGGTGGGGGTGGGGCTACCGTGGGCACCTGCTACTCTAGTGCACACAGTGCATTGATGGTGGAAAGACATGATCCTAACCGGGTCTTTGCTGTGCTCAGAGTACCTGCCCAAAGACCTTTGGAGAGCGTGGTTGGGTGTAGGAGGGTAGGGTCAGGTAGCAGCCATCCCCTGTGCCTTTGGGCAGGTTACTTCGCTTTCCTGGGCGTGGGTTCCACCTAAGCGCTAGGACAGAGCACCTGCCTCTGGCTGCCTGTGGCTGGGAAAGTATCAGGCAGTGTTGGGAAACGGCTCCTTGGGCTGCTCACGGGATGGATTTTCTTCCCTTCAGAGAGGAGGAGGCTGAGGGGGTGGGGAGGAGAGACAGGGGAACGGGGAAAGAACAAGGAGGAGAGGAAGTGCAGGCTCAATGTGGACTGAGGAGTGAGTGGGGTACCAGGCAAACCTGGGTGGGACTCCAACTGGGCAACTGACCAGCTGTGTGACCTCGGTGGACCCACGCCTGACCTCTCCAGGTCTCTGTTGCATTCATCATCTGCAGAATGGGAATAACAGTACTGACCTGACAGGGCTACTGTGGGATGAAATGAAGAGTTGTGCTTCCTCCACCAGGACAGGCCCCTGGGCTGGATCACACGGGAGGTTCCCTTACCGCCCCCCCCCCCAGAGTGACACATCTATTGTGGCCAGGAGGCCACACCTGTCCAAACTTCAGCTCTGCTGAAGGGAACATTTTCTTTTTTTAAATCCTCACCCAAGGATATTTTTCCATTTATCTTCAGATAGAGTGGGAGGGGGAAAGAGAGAGAGAGAGAGAGAGAGAGAGAGAGAGAGAGACATCGACACGAAAGAAGCACATCAACTGGTTGCCTCCAGCATGACCCTGACCAGGGCCGGAACCGAACCACAACCCTCGACTCTTTGGTCCATGGGCCGACGCTCCAACCGCTGAGCCAAACCAGCCAGGGCTGAAGGGAACATTTTCAAAGAGGGCCCAGGACTGAGGATTGGGAAGAGAGAGCGACTGGGAGTATGTAGGTTCTTCGTCTCATGTGCTGGCACCAGACTGGGTGGCAACTGCTGGTGTTCCGCCTGTACACAGACACCACTATCCTGGTGTTAAAACATGGACATACTCTGTACAGGCTGGTCAGCAGCCATTACACACACACCACCACCTCCAGGGGCTTTCTCAGACCCTCCTCACACTGTTGCAGCGAAAGGATTCACCCCCAGCAAAGCAGGCACTTCAGTACCCTGCCCCAAGCATCCCTTGTACTGGTCTGTGCCTTCCTTCCTAAACACTGTTAAACATTTTAAATATCCTTGGTTAACCCCATTACACAGATGAACAGAAAAATTAAGTGCCTTAAGTGCCAAAGGTTGTAGAGTTGTGGGCTCCTCCTACTGACAGCAAGACAGGGGAGGAGACAAGGGGAGGAGAGAGGGCAGAGGGTATGGGAAATGCATGGGCAGGAAGGTCTATGCCCAGGGCAAACTAAGTGCTCACTCCTGAACAAAGGGCACTGGGGGCCCAAAGCCAGGCAGGCTGTCGCCTAGGGATCACAGGAGATAAAGGACCTCATGCCAGGGTTGCCTTATGTGAGCTTTGTGAGCAAAACTGTGTCTGACTGGCTGTGCCCACCTCCAGCCCTGCATACTCATAGCCTGGGGGCCTGGGAATGTCAGGAGCAGCACAGAGGTCAAAGTCACCCTGGGCCTTCGGGAAGAACATCTGAGAAAAGGGATCCGGGCTCACTGGGGCCAGGAGTCAGAGGTTTTACCTTATCCCTTTTCCTAGAGGCAAAGGGGAGCCCCGGGAGGGCTTTAGGTAGGGGAGTGACAAGGTCCAACCTGTCTGGTAAAGGGCCCTGTGGCCTCTGTGCAGCCATCTACTGTGTTTGGGGTGTTGGGTTATAGATCAGTGGGAGGGAGCCATCACAGTCTAGATTGGGATTACCAAATTACGGCCCATGGGCCAAATCCAGTCCACTGATTGTTTTGTATTTGCACAGTCCATGAGGTAAACATGGTTTTTACATTTTTATTTTATTAAAAAATTTTTTTTCGTTATTGATTTTAAGAGAGAGAAAGGGAGAGGGAGAGAGAGATAGAAACATCAATGTGATAGAACATCGATTGGCCGCCTCCTGCATGCCCCCCACTGGGGATCGGGCCCACCACCTGGGCATGTGCCCTGACCGGGAATCAAACCTGCGACCTCTCAGTGCATGGGTCGATGCTCAACCACTGAACCACACCAGCCGGGCAGTTTTTACATTTTTAAATAATTGCATTTTAAATGTTTATGTGCCTATGCAATATCCTCCAGGTTGCCTCTTGGGTCACAAAGTCTAAAATATTTACAATCTGGCCCTTTAAAAATAAGATTGCCAACCCTGGTCTAGGGAGGGTGGCAGTGGGTGGCAAGAAAGTAGCCTTTTTGTTTAATCCTCACCCGAGGAGGTTTTTCCATTTTTTGTTCAGATAGTGTGGTGGGGAGAGACAGAGAAACATCCACGTGAAAGAGACACATCGAGTGGCTGCCTCCTCCCACACGCGGGGCCGGGGACAAACTACAACCGAGGCACATGCCCTTAGCGGGAACCAAACCCAGGTCTCTCTGGACTGCAGGCCGACACTCTAACCGATGAGCCAAACCGGCCAGGGTGAAAGTAGCCTTTTTCAAGAGATGCTCAGGAGGTGGGCCCCAGAGGGCAAGATTTAAGGGTTGGCAGGAGAGCAAGGGCTTCCGGTGGAGGAGTAAAGATTGCACATTTATTGACCAGCTGGTTCACTCTGGGGTTAGAGGAGGCATTTTGGGGAGTGGCAAAAAAGTGGCTCAGTGGTTAGAGTGGCACCTCACCTGTGCACTGAAGGGTCTCAGGTTTGATTCCCGGTCAAGGGCACATACCTGGGTTGCAGGTTCGAACCCTAGCTTCAGTAGGAGTGCATGTGGGAGGCAACCAATGGATGTGTCTTTCTCAAATCAATATCTCTCTCCCCCTCTTCCCTCCCACCCTCCCTCCCTTCTACTCTCTCTAAAAATCAATGGAAAATATTTCCCCAAGTGAGGATTAACAACAACAACAAAAAAATGTGGCTGGAGAAGTCAACTAGGACCTGTCACCGAGGACTCAGGGCCTCCAGTCAAATACTTTCTCACTGGGTTGCTTGTTTACGGTTTCCTCTCCTCTCCTCTATAACGCACACACTCACACAGGAAGGTAAGCTCCATTCAAACAGTGTGCCGTGTTCTCTGCTGCGTCTCCAACTCCTGGAAGAGCTGGAGTTGATAAATATTTGTTGAATGAATAAATGGAAGCATGATGTAACCAAAAAAATGCACTAAACCCTTGATTTTGCAGACCTCAATTTAACAGACTTCAGATTTAGTGGACAGAATTTTTAGCCCATATGTCATATGTGAAAATTAACACCCTGCTAATTTTTAAATGCTCTTAACCAAGCTTTGCTTATAATTAAATTAACAGGCTATTTTTTGTTGTCATTAATTCACTGTTATTTCAAACAAATTTTAGTGAATAGGCCATATGTTGGGAATAAAACACTGCAGTAATTTTGCTGACATAAACAAATATTACATATCTACAACTGTAGTCTAATACTTAAATCCAGGAGTCACCGCTGGCACGTGATCATACCGCTTCGCATGCGGTCATTGGTTCTGTTGTCTTGTTGTGTGACTTTCTGCAGCAGTTTTCACGAGAGCCAGTGGGCAGATGTTCCCACATGTGCTAAGCCATGCCCCAGCCCTGTGTGCATTTATTTACTCATGGTGACTGCTGAATGCAGGCATTTACTAGACCTATTCAGTATAAATTTAAAATTACTGTAATACATATAGAAAACTTTTCGGTGAAATTGAACTTTTCATACATATTAATTTTAATTACACAAACGTGTCAACATACGTAAAAGCAGGTAAACTAATTTGTCGATTTTTAAAATATATTTCTTTTTTTAAAAAAAATCTTTATTGTTGAATGTAGAATGTAATACAGATGTTCCACATTTTTTCCCCCATTGACTCCCTCCTCCCCACTCCCACCTCCCTCCCGCTTTTTCCCACACTATTGTCTGTGTCCATTGGTTATGCATATAAGTTCTTTGGTTTATTTCTTCCCATCCCCCCAGCTCCTTTCCCTTTGAGGTTTGTCAGTTTAGCAACCAATTTGTACTTCTTAATCCCTTCACCTTTTTCACCCATTCCCCCAAACCCCCTCCCATCTGGCAACCAACAAAATGTTCTCTGTATCTATGAGAATGTTTCTGTTCTATCTGTTCATTTTGTTTGTAGATTCCATTGTTGATAGATATGTATTCATTGCCATTTTGTTTGTTCATATATTTTATCTTTTTCTTCAAAAAGACCCTTCATCATTTCATATAATAACAGTTTGGTGGTGATGAACTCCTTTAACTTTTTCTTGTCTGGGAAAGTCTTTATATGGCCATCGATTCTAAATGACAGCTTTGCAGGATAGAGTAATCTTGGTTGTAGGTTCTTGCTTTCCATCACTCTGAATATTTCTTGCCACTCCCTTCTGGCCTGCAAAGTTTCTTTTGAGAAATCAGCTGACAGCCTTATGGGAACTCCCTTGTAGGTAACTAACTGCCTTTCTCTGGCTGCTTTTAAGATTCTCTCTTTGTCTTGAACGTTTTGCATTTTGATGATGATGTGTCTTGGTGTGGGCCTCTTGGGGTTCATCTTGTTTGGGACTCTCTGTGCTTCTTGGACTTGTATGTCTGTTTCCTTCACCAAGTTAGGAAAGTTTTCTGCCATTATTGTTTCAAACAGGTTTTCGATTTCTTGTTCTCTCTCTTCTCCTTCCGGCACCCCCAAGATGCGAATGTTGGCACGCATGAGGTTGTCCCAGAGGCTCCTTACACTATCCTCATTTTTTTGGATTCTTTTTTCTTTTTGCTGTTCTGATTGG